GCCTAGTTTAGATAATCCATATAGCAGCATGAAAGATGCAGGGACACAGATTTAGGCTATCCTGCAGCTAGGGTTCCTCTAAAGTGTACATTGCGCTTGCTAGTCAGACCTACACAGTATGAAGCTCATCCCCACTGCTGCTGTTGGCATGCTGTACTGACGCGTGCTGCAATCCTGCATTAGCTTTGCAGAGTAAGTGTATCCCTCAGAAGGGACATGGTAGTGAACATAACCTTCTCCTGTCTGGTAACCAGACTAGAAACCCAAGATACTATTTTATTAGCATGTGACCAAGAATATGGCAGCATGATGCTGTGTCTTACCTGCAGAAAAGTATTCCTTGTCAGTTTTGCAGGATGTTCAGTTAAGAGAAACGTACCTTGTTTGCTGTCATTTTTATTGCATGGGAACTGAATCTTAGCTTTTTATATTTAAAAAGAAAGAATTACCAACAGAGTGGAAGAGCAGCTGTTTAAAATAGCATGCCAAAACTGTCAGCTTGTTAATCTTTTAATAAAACGTTTATAGTATTTTTTTCCAGCTGTGGCGAATGCAAATTAAAAATAGAACTTGTAATAGGGAATTATTCCCTACCACATTCCTTTTTATAATGTTGCATGGAATTTTTATCTGGTGAAAGCTGTAACCAGCTTATGCTACGTTGTTTCTTTTCCGAACACAAATGTTTTAGAACATTTTGTTCCTCATTCTCCAGTGTAGCTGCAGAATACAGTTACGGAGAGACTGATAGGTCTCATTAAACGACAATTTAATGAAAACATGCTTTTTCTTCTTTCTAGTGGCATTTTAGTTTGCACTGATGTGATGGCCCGTGGCATAGACATTCCAGAAGTACATTGGGTTTTACAGTATGATCCACCTAGCAGTGCAAGGTACAACTTCACATCTTAAGAACCCTTACTCTGCTTCTGTTCATGTTACTGTACTGTTTAAATACAAATTGGGAGCGTACTACTGTGGAAAACACGTTTACTCTGTGCCTGAAAGTTAGTCTGAATAAACACACAATGCATGAACAGGGGAGGCTGGAAGATGGCAATTCTGTTATAACTGATACGACTTTAAGTGGCGCTTACATGTGTTGTACATACATAAGTCAAATGGGTTAATGCCATTAAAACGGCTGTTGCCACTTATATTTATAAAAGGAGACAATAAGGGTAAGGGTTAGTATGAGAAGTAACAGGAGGTGAGATACTAGAGTGAGAGCAGAGATGAAAGCAAGCGCAGAGCTGTTCAAGGATGGTATACTGAAAGCTCAAATGAGAGGAGCTTTTCCTTGCGTTTTAACTTTCACTGTCATAATTCTCCCTACAACTTGCTTAAGCTCTCCCTCCCAAAACAGATGCACCTTGTTTTAGTACGCATTTCTGAGAATTGAGAGTGGGACTGTTATA